AAAAAAAAAAAAAAAAAAAAAGGAACAATAAAGTTACAGTTGTAATGTCTTGACAGTTTTAATGTCCTTAGGATTTTTTTAAAGTGCCTGTGAAGCATAAAGGGGAACATTGCTAACCCAGTAGAAAATGGACAAAGGGCCGGGTGCGGTGGCTCAACCCTGTAATACCAGCACTTTGGGAAGCCAAGGCAGGCAGATCATGAGGTCAAGAGATCGAGACCATCCTGGCCAACATAGTGAAACCTCGTCTCTACTAAAATATAAAAAAAATTAGCAGGGCGTGGTGGTGCGCGTCTGTAGTCCCAGCTACTCGGGAGGCTGAGGCAGGAGAATTGCTTGAACCGGGAATGTGGAGATTGCAGTGAGCCATGATCACACCACTGCACTCCAGCCTGGTGCCTAGCCACAGAGCAAGACTCTGTCTCAAAAAAAAAAAAAAGAAAATGGACAAAGGACATGAGTAGAAAGATAATTCACAAATGAATAGCCATAATGATAATAAGATAAAATCTTCAACCTCACTTGCAATTAATAAATGCAAATTAAAACAGTAAAATGTTAGATTTTTAAAAATGAAATGTAATATGTTTCTTTGTAATAGACTCACAAGGCAATGTCCATTGGAAGACAAGGTCGAGTACAAGTTGAAGATATTGTCTTCCTGATTCGAAAGGACCCAAGGAAGTTTGCCAGGGTTAAAGACTTGCTTACTATGAATGAAGAATTGAAACGAGCTAGAAAAGCATTTGATGAAGCAAACTATGGATCTTGACACTTTTTGTAGTTTCTGAAAATTACCATCTGGGGATATCATATGTAATAACTGTATATCTTCTAAAGTAAGGTTCTGATATCTAGCCATGGAAATGAAAGATGGAGAAACACAAAGTTTTCAGCCTTTATTTATTTATTTTTATTTTAGAGACGGGTTTCACCATGTTGGCCAGGCTGGTCTCGAACTCCTGACCTCAGGTGATCCACCCACCTCAGCTTCCCAAAGTGCTGGGATTACAGGCGTGAGCCACTGAGCCCAGTCTCAGCCTTTATTTTTATGCCTTTGATTTTAGAGTGATATTGGTGTGTTTAATTACCTGCCTTTGTATTACCATACTTGAATTACTTCCTGGGCTTTAATGACCACTCATAAGTCACGGTACCTTGCAAACCATGCAGTTCCTTCTGACTTTTGACTATCTAAAGGAAAAAGCAGTATTTATGTGTTAGGTATGTTTATGCCCTTGTAAGCTATACTGTAGCTGTTTAATATGCGAAATCTAAATGGCATTTTTGACTTGACAGCTCAGACATGTACTTTATGTATTTGGAAGTTTTTAGACAACAATTAGTTTACTATCTAGTTTATTATTAAACATTATTAAATATAATTATTATTAAAGATAATGAACTGGGCCGGCCACGGTGGCTCACACCTGTAATCCCAGTACTTTGGGAGGGCGAGGCAGGTGGATCACTTGAATCCAGGAGATGTAGACCAGCCTGGCCAATATAGCAAAACTCCGCCTCTACTAAAAATTCAAAAATTGGCCAGACATGGTGGCATGCACCTGTAATCCCAGCCACTTGGGAGGCTGAGGCAGAACTGCTTAAACCCAGGAGGTGGAGATTGCAGCGAGCTGAGATGGCGTCACTGCACTTCAGCCTGGGCAATAGAGCATGAATGACTCTGTCTCAAACAAATAAATACAGATAATGAGCTTTTAAAGAGATGATAGAGAAAATACAGTTTTTTTGTAAGAATGTTTATCTCTCTTAAAAGATCATTTGTTTTAATTTTCTTCTGATAACAAGTTATTATTTTTATTTAAGAAACTAAGTTTCACGTAAATAATGCTGTGTTGGAAGGCTTTTTGAGTTAAAATCTTTTGGAACTTATAACATCCTGTTAAGTTTTAGGAGAACTCGTTTTCCCAGATCAGATTCAAGCTTCTAAAAATAAATGCTTTCAGTAGCAGGAATGGCATTGCTTAAAAAGCTGATGGCGGGATAAGCATTTGGGTTAGTGTTTTATTTACATATTTGTAAGTACTTGTTCATTGTGGAAATGTGTCCTTTGTGGCTAAACCATATGTGGCTATGGAAACCATGTTTGTAGTTCTGGATATACAGGTTTTGTGTGTATTTAGTCTATTGTATTAAATTATTGCCCTTAGCTTAAAGTAAGGATTACAATTACATTTAAGTAGATCATTGAATGTTATTGTTTATGAAACTTACTTTTGTGTGCCGCTTATAAATATGATCTATAAATCAGTGCTTAGGAAAAGTTTACTTTCTTAACCTACTGATACGAGAATAAAGTATGAACAGTTAAACAGGTTGATGCTTGAATCTGACTGATTTATGACTTTTTTTCCTCCCAGAATGTTATGCCCATTACTAATACGGTAATTCTTGCTGCTTAATCAAGCTGAAAACTTTATTTCAGTGCATATCTGGGTGAATCTTTTGTTATTTAAAAAAGCAGGGCTGGACACGGTAGCCCATGCCTGTAATCCCAGAATTTTGGGAGGGGTAGGAAGGAGGATCACTTGAGCCCAGGAGTTGGAGACCAGTCTGGGCAACATAGTAAAACCCCCATCTCTACTAAAAATCAAGGCCAGGAGCAGTGGCCCACACCTGTAATCCCAGCATTTTGGGAGGCCAAGGCGGGTGGATTGATTAAGGTCAGGAGTTCAAGATCTGACCAACATCGTGAAACCCTGTCTCTACTAAAAATACAAAAATATTAACCAAGTATGGTGGCATGTCTATAGTCCCAGCTACTTGGGAGACTGAGGCAGGAGGATTGCTTGAACCAGGAGCTGGAGACCAGCCTGGGCAAGATGACAAGACCCCATCTCTGTTAAAAAAGAGCCAGGCGGCTGGGCACAGTGGCTCACGCCTAGCACTTTGGGAGGCCGAGGTGGGTGGATCACCTCAGGTCAGGAGTTCAAGACCAGCCTGGCCATCATGGTGAAACCCCATCTTTATTTAAAAAAAAAAAAAAAAAAAAAAAAAAAAAAGCCAGGCACAGTGGTGTCCACTTGCGGTCCCAGGTACTCAGGAGGGTGAGGCGGGAGAATCACTTGAGTCTGGGAAGTCAAGGCTGTAGTGAACTGCTCACTCTCACCAAGGCTGGAGTGCAGTGGCATAATCACAGCTCACTGCCTCGACCTCCTGGGCTCAAACGATATCCTCCTACCTCAGCCTCTGAGTAGCTGGAACTACAGGCATGCCTAGTTAGAGAAGCTATTTCACTGTGTTGCCCAGGCTGAGTGGGGCTTTGTGTTAAGACTATTTTAGGTTGCAAGCGATATAACTTAACTCAAAACTATTAATAGCATAAACAAAGAAGGAATTTATTGGCTTACCAAACCGAAACATGGGAAAGAAGGGATTGAGCTGACTTTAGGGTTGACTGGATCTAAGTACTTGAGAAGCAAGACTCTGTCTCTGTCTTTTATCCTAATTTTGGTTTTATTCTCAGCATGGCAAAGGAATATGATGGCCAGCAGTTCTAGGGTTCCCTCCTTACAAATCCAAATTGAAGAAGCTGCTTCACTTCCTAATATAGAAAATTCCAGCTGGGCGCAGTGGCTCACGCCTGTAATCCAAGCACTTTGGAGGCCAAGGCAGGCGGATCACCTGAGGTCGGGAGTTCAAGACCAGCCTGACCACCATGGTTCTTAAAAAAAAAAAGAAAAGAAAAAAAGAAAATTTCAAGCAAGGATTATGATGATCCAAGCTCTGCTTATTTTCTTCCTGGACCAATCACTATGGCCAGGAAGAAGTTGTACTATATCCTGGATCTCATGCCCGACTTATGGTAATAAAGGGTTTGGCATGGGATTGGGAACTGGGAGCTGGATACTGCTATTACCAAAAAGGGAAAGAGACTTGGCGGGCTGACTTGATTCATGAGCTTACTTATTAACTTCAAATTCTGGTAGTAAGGTGGCAAGGCTATCTTCCAGTATCTAGAGTTGCACAGTGTAAATGGTAGCCACTAGCCACATGTGGCTATTTACGTTTT